AGCTTGGTACAGTTAGCGAGTTCCAACATCGTGAAGACTTCTGATCTTTCTCAGAAAAAAAAACAAGCGGACGTGAAAAGTGAGATGGAAGTGAAATATTGGATTCGTGGAACTACCGGCGAAACCGGATTTCATTCAATTTTGTTTGCTCGTTTTTATCCGGGCGGGGATCCCGGCCGATATCCCGCTGGCACCCTGGTAGAAATTTACTGACCGGCATCCCGAGAGAGATCCCAACAGGTGTTCCGTGGGAATCTCGGCGAGAACTTGCGAAAATCCCGGCGTACACTCCAGAGGGCCAGAGGGTAATGACATCAAGGAACTCGTCTCTTTTTCTTAGCTTATAGTTAACCATTTCATTCTATCATAAATTCACTAAAACAGTTCAATCGAGCAACTGTGTTTAACGCGTGACTGAGTGTTATAACTGAGTGTTATGACTGAGTGTTATGACTGAGTGTTATGACTGAGTGTTATGACTGAGTGTTATGACTGAGTGTTATGACTGAGTGTTATGACTGAGTGTTATGGCTGAGTGTTATGACTGAGTGTTATCACCGTTTAATATAGGTGAACAACAAAAAGAGAACGTGTGGATTAATGTGGAGCTTATTTAAAAAATCGCTCAAAAATGTATCGAACGACATCAACAAAATGATGATGCAGCGTAAAAACATAACAATAAATCAGAATTCTAACACTCAGACCTCTTGGTAATAAACTAGTGGATGATTTGCGTAATTTTCTTGCATAATATTTGTTAGATACAAACAGTCTTAAGAGGGAAGATAATCTGCAACGCGTTGAGGATATTCGAACTCTAAATACTGACATTGATTTTGGGAGACAAACATGGAATAAATTTTACTTCAAAGAGAATTCGTTGGTTTATTCGAGTGGTTCCGCCCTAAGTGACCATTCTATACAACCCGAACAGGCCGATGGGACTCAGTCGTCTGTCTTTTCCAAGGCAAGTGATGTGAAATGAACTCTAAGGAAGAATTTCATATGAATATTTTTGACATTTTGTGTACCATTACACAAGGATTAAACTTTTGAGAGAGGCAGGGACATTCAGGAAATGATTTAATCTACACTAGAAGCCATTGGGAGCTTGATTTGGTTTGAATGTACGACTAATTTTGGACAATACATACATGTAAAGTAACACAATGCTGAGTGTAGGTTTATTTTGTCCATTAGGGCATAAAGTTCAACTTTCAGTTGGTTGAGAGCAAAACGTTTACTATAATTATTGTGTTTAGGTTTTGTGGGACTGTATTTTCAATAAAGAACACAGAAAAATTTAGTTCAGGTAGGTAGATATGAGGTTGCAAATGGAAGAGTCTAAGGAAAAAAGATAGGTGCATTACAAGATCAGAACACAAGCAATATTTTAATGAATCATATGTTGAGTTAAGTACTCTGAAGTAACATTACATTAACGTTGCTAATAATTTTTAACCCAATAAGATTTACAATTTGACCTAGAGGTTCAATTCAACAGAAAGTTCAATAGAGATAGAGTGTCACTGTAATAGATTTCAGGAACAGTAATCAG